TTTATTGTGAACACATTCCGGACTTTACCACTGTTGCATGTCGAATGGGAAGGCAATTAAAGAGAATCAATACATCGAAAATTGTAAAAAGTATAATCCAAACACTGATTAGAATTATTAGACTATAGTGCGGATTTTTTTATTGTATTTTTTCCATCTCCGACACATCAAACGATTTTTTTCCCTTAGTTATTGATAATTGTTATAAAACCCCGTGATAATGAAAAGGATTTGTATTTATAACATTGTGTTTATATAGGGTTAACCATTTAGATACCCTTTATTTTAAATTACAGTATGTTTTTATGTTTGTATGGGCTCTATTATTCATTTTGAATTAACAATTTTTATTAGTAAATGAGTGCATTTCAAAATATTGAGAAAGACAGAACTCAGATTATCTCCAAAAAGCTAATTTTAATTACTGAGTATAATCGTACAGACACTTCGTCGCTTAGTCACCAGTTATTTAAACATTGGGCATAACTATATTTATGTTGCATCACAAGATCATTTAACTATGAATGGATCTTTCTATGGTTTCTTGAAATACAAGCTATATCGTGTTTTTTTCTTACACTATGTTTATCCTACCTGAAATTACACGTAAGCAAGAATAATTCCACTCTCGTCCTATCAACAAGCAAAAAAGGATTGTAATGCTCCCCCTCATTTATATCCAACATAACAATATTGTAAAATCTTAGAAATTTTAAAATTTTCAAAATTTATTACACTGTTTGCTGTGTAAAAAAATAGTGTTAGTAATTTTACATGAAGTAGGAGACACGTTCATATTTCAAATTGCGAGAAACAGATTTTCATTTGTTATATTTTTAATTCATTTCTACCTGATAAAAAAAAGAATTTGGACAAAATATCCGCATCAAAAAACTTCAGTAAATGCAATGGAAAAGAGAGAGACTCACCCTTGATATCTTAGCGTGTAGACCAGGTTAGGCTTATGACACCATGACTGATTTCTAACATAGAATATCAGATTATAATTTTATGTCTAATACTTTTCATAAGAATCAAAGACATTAACGACTCGGGAAAATTTGTAGTGGTCAAAGCAACCTACAGTAATTTTTTTTCGTATTAACCAGAGAGGTGTCTTTTCTTGGAATTACGTACTAAGGATTAAATACCTGGGATTTTACAATTACATCACTGGTGTTATGTTCGATCAACGCTCTTCTTCTTGTCTGTCTAATGTAATATAGTGTGGTTGAGCATGAACAATTACATGATCTTCTGTAGGTGGTTTCTTGTTACAAGAATATAGAAATCCTATGCAGTTACCTTGTAATTTGAGATCTTTTTGGAAAAACCAGGAAAAAATATATAATTACGACTTTCTAGGCTATATTCAAAATCTCTTTATAAACTTATTGTAGGGATAAAAAAAATTCTGACAAATACTTCGATTAACATATATATAAGATATACAAATTTCTGCCCCCTACCCATTCCACTTATCAAAACCTTCATTCATAACACATAATTTGTGCACGTTTTGATTATAGCTTAAAAGACTTAAATAACTTTTTAATTTTCCATTGCTTTTGTATCACAACATTTGCAGAATGCATTGCTTCACATGCCCGCAATACAAATAAAAGGTGTCAATTTAGCTATATGCGACCGTAGTTCGAATGTCTACAAACATATATGAAGCTCAAATTACTAATGATATTTCATTTACTTAAAGTTCTATACTTTGACCCGATGTGAATGCAATATCTAGTAAAAGTCAAACAAATCATGTTCGATCGTGAAAATTGGAAAAGGCACTTATATAATATTGTTAGTACTCACAAATCTTTGTTCGGGATGGTCTTTATAATTGTGTATGCTCTGGCTTTACAAATACTAGTAGATAATATAAAGCTTGAATTGCAGTTTGACTATCGGGTATGTAACACATGGGCTTAATTAAAATATCGAGAGCGATTGGGCTTTTGGGGGGGGGGGGGTATTTTTTTTTTTTTTTTTTTTTGATTTTGTTTTGCTTGATCTGAATTGGTTGTAGAAATGTATTAACTAAAACATTAACTAAAACAGTAAATTGTCTGTAAAGGTAAGCATTCCCAATTTTGGCCTAAATTTGACTGCATACAATTTCGGAGGTCATTGCTTTACCTTCAAATTCTGTAGAAAAGTTCCTACAATGTCTGCATTGGATTAGGGAGGTCATTGCTACAAGTATACACTAATAAATGAGGTATATATTCATGCACTCAAGTAGTATATGCTTGAATGTACAGTCTGATATAAGGTATGGGGGTTGCATTTTATATTCATTTTTAATCCTTAGTGACTGTTGTTCACGCGTGATGTGCAAACCAACATTTGAATGTATTTGTCAGATGTATTGGATGACTGCAGCTGAACTACCTAATAAACTTCTTTAATTTGCTCTTGAGAGAGAGAGAGAGGGAGAGAGATAAAGATATGACCTGCTATCACAAATGACAGTGAAAATTTATAGTGGTTTGGTGCATTTGTGGATGTCTATGAGTATGAATTATTTGAAATGTACTAGTTTTTGATTTTACTCCAAAAACAAGACATTTTAAAAAGTCATATATAACTCTGAACATATTTGGGTTTCATTGGGATAGGAAATGAGACAGCAAACCAAAACTAAATGTTTGAAAGGATTAGATTTGAATTCCAAACATGAACCCCTACTTCCACCACGTTAAGGAACAAAAATCCTGATAACAAATTCCTATGAATTGAACTTTTGAAGTAACTCTAACAGTAAAATACTATAGTAAAATATAGTTAACTATAATATATACTATAGGAACCATAGTGTAATAAGGTGTCAGAGTTATTATTACATAAGTAAATCAAAGTTTTCGAAACTATCACTATAGTGCTATGTCCTAGTGATTACTTATGTAAATCAAGTTGTCAAAGATATCACTATAGTAAATCAATTTTCTGTATTAAAAGTTATACTTAGGAATTATCCAGTGTACCTGGGGGGTATTGCAGACTTTTTTTTTTCATTTTACCAACGGTGTGTTGATGTCATGCATTACACGTTCTCTTGTTAATGTCTCTTCTGTCATTTAAATATATCTTAACATTATATTGACCATAGATACAAGAGATAATGAAAGAAACCAGGAGACATGTTTTCTGGAGAACATAAAAGTAAGTTCAGTAAAACGAGCAATTACATGGAGATTTAAAAAAACAGGATTAACTTTCAAAAGAGTTTTCTTGAACCCATCTAGTTGTTGTATACATGTTCATATATCCACGAAGGTTGTCTGTGACCATCAGCTCTGAAAGTTTCAACCCAATAAGCAAGTACTCAGTACATGTTCCTGTTTTAAGTATGGCTCCGTGTAAAAATCATGCAGGGGGTGATACATGGGGGGTTTCAGAATTTTTTCAAACTTTGCATGTTGGTAGGGTATGCTAAGATACTACAAAAAATAAAATGATTTTTTATCAATTCTGTGTCTGGTTGCCATGGCAACAGTTAAACTGTTTTCGGTAAAATATGGCTGAAATTTCCTCTAAAAATAGGCAAAAATATCAATATTTCATATGAAATTAAAAGAAAATCAGACAATAAATCACATTTTTGTTTATTTCTCATTCAAATACAGCTCAAATAGTAACTTTTCATAATTAATCAAAATATTTCCATGTCCAGTAAAATGTTCTAATTTTAAGCTGAAAAGGGGAGATAATCCATATTGAAAAAACAGCAAAATATCAATTTTTTGAGGATTTTCAGCTATCAAAAAATTAAAAAACCCTACAGCCAAACCAAAAGGCCATGCTAGTTTCATAGACACCATACCCTATAGAAAATAAAATAATTAAAACATTTTTGTGCAAATGATTATTATTTTCCAAAATGATTGACGAGTTTCATTCAAAAAATGGCAATTTCCCTTTTTTTGTCACAGTCCAATATATGCCATATATGTATGCATGTAAAAGGAAATTGACATTTCAACACAATTTCTTTACATTTCCAAACTCAAATACAACACAATTATTTACTTATCTTAATTAATCTAAATATTTTCATGACCTGTAAGATGTTCCAATTTTAAGCTGAAAAGGGAGATAATCCATATTGACAAAAACAGCAAAATATCAATTTTTTGAGGATTTTCAGCTATCAAAAAATTAAAAAACCCAACAGCCAAACCAAAAGGTCATGCTAATTTCATAGACACCATACCCTATAGCAAATAAAATAATAAAAACATTTTTGCGCAAATGATTATTATTTTCCCAAAACGATTGATGAGTTTCATATAAAAAATGGCAATTTCCCTTTTTTTGTCACAGTACAATAACTATGCCCTATACACATATCATGAATATATACCAGGTATGCATGTAAGAAAAAATTGACATTTCAAAAAATTTTTCTCAATTTTCTAATTTGAAATACAACACAATTTTACTTTTCATTTAATCAAAATATTTTCATGACCAGTAAAATGTTCTAATTTTAAGCTGAAAAGGGAGATAATCCATATTTACAAAAACAGTATCATATCCCATTTTTGAGGGTTTTTTTCAGCCTATAAGTTTTTTTTAAAGTCCAACAGCCAATGCAAATCAAAAGGTCATGCTTGTTTCGCACACACCATACCCTATGGGTATGATACATAGGGTATTATACAAAAATTGAAATTGCATTTATTTATTTATTTTAGGGGGGGGGGGGGTGTTAATATATTGATCCAACAACCATCGAGGGACAATATTTACTTCCTTCTTTAGGATCGGTGAATGCATACATTTAGGCAAGCCAAACCATTGTAATGACCTCAAAAACAGAAATAATTGTATAATATACAACTTGACTTTTATTTTAATGATAATATGAAAATCATTTTATGTTTCCCTCTTGGTTACACCTTTCAATATACACCACAAGAATTTTGTTCAAATTTTAACTGCATGCAATTACATGTATTAATTAAATGAATGATGTTTTTTTACACATCATTACCAAGTCATCTGCTTCTTTTCCATTCAATTTTACCAGTTTATCCCACATCAAAATTATTAATTACTGGTACATGTATCAAAATCATTAATTGATAGATGTAAACAAAATTTTAATAGTTTACATCTTTTAAGATGAAATAATGCTGAACAAAATATCAGTAATCTCCGATGCTTCTCTTTTGTAGTAACTGACTGTCCTTTGTTTATTTATGAGTCTCTTCTAGTGAAATATAAAACTGTAACCTAAAGGTGCTGAAGATCCATGGGAGTTGAAAGTCCATGCCTGATTATCTTTATCCAAGTGCCAGCATTCTTTGAACTCTAATCTTTGTTATTCCTAAAATAATAGTTACATATAATTATCATTTACCACATTAAAACTCATTGTTCTACATTGATTTAAAGGTATTAAAGGGTTTTTTTAAATTTATAAATTACATGGAATCTCAAGTTTATGTAATGCAGTAATTTCATGTAAAATCTCAAATGGTTGCATGTGCATGGCATGTGGTCCCCCACCTTTGGAGTCTTATTAGTTGGTGGTGTGCAATGATGTTTTTCTTGCTGTCTCAAAAATACTGTCAGCTTTTCCTTCATAACCATGATGCAAACCATCTTGCGCATTCTGTGAAAATGATATAGGGTTTCATTTCAAAAGTATATAATTCAAATTACTAACTTATGAAATATGTAAAATATCTTTACCATATTTTCTATCATTTATGTCTCAGGTTTTTAACCATATTACAATTTAAACTGTAACCAGTTATGAATTCTATAATCTTGCTACTGATTAAATTAAAACTACAAAATGAAATACCCGGTACTCTCACAGTACCTGTTATAAAACACTTTTGGGTCTTCCCTTTTCATTCTATCTCTTCAGTCAAACAAGTTCTTGATCATTCTGAAAAACAACAAGGAATATTTTTCATCTAGATTTATATGCAATATGACATACAGAGAGAGATTAGGTATAAAGACAACTAAATATACCTATTTAACAACCCTAAATTAAATTTACCTGGTGATTCCAAAGCACAGTACACTGTTTTCCAAATACACTAGCCCGATTAAAAATGTTGGGCCAGTAAAAATGTAAGTCAGCAATAGCTTGACAAGACTAATAGAATTTTCAGTGATATATCTTTTACAAATTATACCATCAGTAATGTTAAAAAATGTGCATAAACAGCCTTGTCTGAAAAATTATATATTTATTAAATAAATCAAGCTTTTTGGTGGTTTTTATATCTTGGTTGATTTTTTTTTCTGTCCATACTTGATTTTGTTATTTAGTTATCATTTCTGACTAGTGCCATGTTGACATGGGTAGAGCAAACAAGAGGCCCATTGGCCACAATGCTCACCTGAGTCAATATCTTCATCAGCAGATTTTTCTAATATATATTCATATGTAAAACTTTGATCCCCATTGCGGTCCTACCCTATCCCAGGGGTTCATGATTTCAACAGATTTGAATCTACACTACTTGAGGATTCTTCAATATATACATGTATCTGTACGACTAATCATGGCTTTGCTGTTCTTAAAAAGAAGAATTATCACTACCTAGTGTGAAACTTTGATCCCCCATTGTGGCCCTATACTACCAGTATGTCTAGTTCTTGAGAAGAAGATTTCTAAAGATTGTAAATGTTACCTAGTATCTACATTTTTAAAGCCCCATGCTACCGCTACTTTTCACAAAAGTTTCAACCCTTTTGGCCCAGTTTTTCATGAGAAAAAGATTGATAAAGTTTTTTACATATATATTTCTACATGTAACTTTGATTGTTTATTGCGGCCAATCCATATCCCTTGGGGTCATGATCCGAGCAAACTTCCCACTACATTATGTAATAAAGCTTTCACATAAGTTTCATCTTTTCTGTTCCAGTGGTTCTTGAGAGGAAGATTTTTGAAAGATTCATTAAATTTTAACTAATTTTTAATTATCTCCCCTTGAAAGAGGGCAAGGCTCTTCATTTGAACAACACTGAATCTCCTTCATCCAAGGATGCTTTGTGGCAAATATGGTTGAAATTTGCCATTCTGGAAGAAGATGAAAATGTGAAAAGTTTTAAACAAAGATGACAATGACACCTGGAACAACAACAGACAATTGACAAAGTGTGATCAGAAAAGCTTACTGGAGCCTTTGGCTCCGGTGAGCTAAAAAATCAAAACCTATCACATAAAGCATATACTTCTTTTAATTAGTAAAATTTACATGTTCATTTTCAATTTGAATTACCATAAACCTGGGGCCTAAAATAAAAATTAATTTGTTTGCAGTTGCCTACCCATGCACTGAAAATGCACCCGACCCAAACTTTTTTTTTTTCCAGCCATTTTGTATTATTATTTTTTGTTAAGTTTCAGTTTTTCAGGATATTGAAAATGTTCTATTTTTTATTTTTGTTTTTATCAAGTGAAGCATATTTATGTTAAGTAAGCCTTGAAGTATGAATATCTCTATAATTTGTTATCTAATAAAAGTCTGAAAAATAACTTATTTTTTAAAAAAAAAAAAACCTACGTATCCACTCTAAAAATTATAGGTTGGCAACTGCAAACAAAGAATTTTTTAAGCTAATGTCCCGGGCCTTCCCACTGAATCCCTTAAATTTGGCCACGTTAAATAATGGTTGTTATATGGGACATGTATTGATTAATGATGAGAGCACAGACAATGTTCCATACTTATATGATGATAAAATGTTCTATTGTTAAGATGATATTCTCCTACAGACCCGGTTTAATGAAAGAATGTGTATTAGCAATGTTATGTAGCAAAACAAACCGGGCAATAAGTATTATTTAGAGAATGAGACGGGTTCTGTATCGTAGATACAAATTTGGGGGTGGACGAGTGCATAGCAATAGTCTCCGCCCCCAGATTTGTATCTACGATACAGAACCTGTCGAGTTCTCTAAATGATTTGTGACATGATCAATCAAGAAAAAGCACCGCCCACTTTATAGCTGTGCAGCATTCAAACTACTGCCAGTGTTTGTTTGTTCTCTCTGTAGATGAGGCCTTGATGGGGAGTATGCCTCCGCAGTAGATATATATTTCCATGGACAATGTAAGATTTAGTCAGATTAGTTTTGAAAACGGGGGAGACGTTGTCTTAATTGATAAGGTGGACAATTTAACTTTGCCGTAGATGGAGACTGATCCTAATTTATTTCAGGGGTCTTAAAATCTCAGTTTAACTAGATACACATGCAGGCGATACAAACAGTTCTTCAATGAACTTTGATGTCACAAATTTTTATTTTCTTATTGAAATGCGACATTAAATTTAAAAACGAAGAGAAAAAGATGTGCAGCAGTCGTCAGCGATAAGAATTTAAGATGAAATGTTAAAAAAAAATGCTCAAAATGGACTTGAATGAGTTTGCACGAGAAGAGTGGAAAATGGGGGGGGGTGACTGTGCGAAGTTCACATAATGTATGCTGCACCCGTGAACCCATTGGCTTAACTATTTTGGAGGGGACCCCAAAAAAGCAGGGAAAGCAAACAGGTTTTCAGAAATTTATTAAACATAGGATGCTTTCCATAACTGCGAATTTTCCTTTTTGTTTGGATCGAAATAACGTGTAGATTCTGTGTGGAATAATTTTTTAAAAATTGAGAAATTTTGATATTTTAATATACATTTTTTGATATTGATATTGATATTTTGATATACTTTGCTAGGGATATATTTCTCCAAATTTTATTATAAGATAAAACTCAGCATTTACTATTTGTACTTGCTTTTGATAAATTGAATCAGATTTATTTTTAGACTGTGCTGTATTTTAGATACAGAATAGTTGGCTAATACAAAACACTGAGCTATCGTGTCATAACTAACTCTGGTCAATGCATTTACTCTGAATAATTCAGAGATTTCTGACTATCAACATGGCATGTAAATTTGAATCGTGTAAAAAAACCTTGACAAAAAGTGTTGAACTCTTACATTATATGGATTAATTTTTGGGGGTGAAAGGTATCCCTGTGACAAAAAAAGGTTAACTTTGTTATTATTAACTTGATGCTTATTTTTCAATGCAATTTCATTTATTTCCTCCAAAATCATTTCAGAGTGTTTCCACCATTTTCTGCTACATTGCGAGAATATGGAAGGCATTCTAACTGTGGTCAGGGCCTGTCCCAAGACACAGTAACATTATTCAAACATATATATGTGTAAGATGTCATTTTTTTCAAAATGGACATGATATTGATATATGTAGGAACTGGCCATCCCCAACAATTTTCCAAATACATACTTTACTGTATAAAATATCAATAACCATACATAAGAAGTAAATTTAAATTAAATCCTACCTATCAAGCTGTTCAAACAGCTGTCCAAATGTACCGGTGGCGCCGGTACATTATCTTCCCTCTCCAACTGTCCAAGTTGAGTATGCTGACACAGTCGGACTGCAACTCCTCTCTGAGGGCTTACTCTTGGATTCTGGTGGATTAACTTAGAAGCTAAACTTCCGACATAGACCATACTGATGTCAGTAATAAGGAAAATTGCTGATACCCTTATCAACACGATGACAGTAATATTCCCAAGCTACACTTTTTCGTTTCACAGATTTTTTTTCCTCTTAATTTACACGAGCTCCATGTCCAATCTGTTCTTGTAAATTCCTTTCAATCATTTTTACTCAATTCACACAGATATTTGCAATGAACACCACATGATGCATCAAAATAACTTTGCAGAGTACAGCTTTTCATGGAGGCCGCCATTTTTTTTACTACCGCCACCTATATAAATTTCCTAAGGGAGATAACTCATACGAAGAATCTTCACAAATTCCAGATTTTTAACACCCTGTATCTTTTCAATCCTTTGTTTGCACAAAAATATTAGAGTAAATTTAATTTACACTTTCTATTTTCACTGTAATTATGTGTTTAGATTTTATACATCTTCTTGGGTTTAGAAGAAATTGTTTTCTGAAATATGCACTATTTACACACTATCCATACAAAATTACCCCTGGAGTACCCTATCCCTAGCTATATGAAAAAAGAAGAATTATAACAAATCCATTCGTTATCATTCATTTTAGACCCAAATGAATATATTAAACTCAGTTTTAATGAATTTGCAGATTATCGATGTAGCGCCTTTTCTGTGCTACCTGCATGATTTTTACGCGGAGCCCTACTTAAATATACAGAAGGATTTGCAATGACTGCAGTATCATTATGCACTTGGTACCATGAAAAGCTTAAACTATTTGCATTGTTTGCATTGCAAAAAGGACTTTTTGTGGGCGTTTTTTGAACAATGTTTTCTCAAAATATATATACGTGTGTCCTATGTATAAATCATCCCCCATCTCTGTTTTAAACGGTATGTTCTCCTATCACCGTTTCTGCATACCTAATATTGAATCCATGGGAGGGTTTTACAAACACATTCATTAACGGGAAGTATTGAAATATAAGTATTAATATGCAACATTATACATTTATTGACTGGGTTCGAGGGCAACATGCGTTCCGTCATACCCAAGAACCAAAATGTTTGCCTGAGGCCGTTAGGCCGAATTGATTATCCTTTTTAACACCAAAAATTGTGTAAAAATTCTTTATATTTTCATTTTTCTAAAAATGCATTTTAATTGTACTCATCCAATTTTCACCCCTCCTTCCATATATCTGTAAAAGTAAATAACAAAAAAAATGTTTTTGTGAAACACTGATGCCCCCGTATGGCAACTTATAGCAAAGGTTAAACTTTCTCAAATGCAAATCAAATATGTAGGTACCCAAAGTAAGGACCTGTCTCGAGGAATAAACCTGTGAAATATGAAAACCCTAGCAGCAACCATTGAATAGATATGGAAAAGGTAAAAGTTTTTCAAAAGTATGTCAAACTTCAAGGTCAAGGTCAAATGGTCAAAATTAATGGTGCCCAAAGAAAAGCCTTCTCCCAAGAAATACAACGGTGAAATATGAAAGCCGAAGCACCAATCCTTCAAAAGTTATGACCAAGGTTAAAGTTTTCCAAAAGTAGGCCAAACTCCAAGGTCAAATGGTCAAAGCTGTTGGTATCCAGAGAAAGGTCTTGTCACATGGATTACATATGTGAAGGATGAAAGCCCTAGCACCAAGCGTTCAAAAGTCATGGTAAAGGTTAAAGTTTTCCAAAAGTAGGTCAAACTCCAAGGTCTGATGGTCAAACTTGTTGGTATCCAAAGGAAGGTCTCCTCACAAGGATTACACCTGTGAAGTATGAAAGCCCTAGCACCAATTGTTCAAAAGTTATGGCCAAGGTTAAAGTTTGGTCAGATTTTGCAAAACTGGGTCAAACTCTAAGGTCAAGGTCAAAAGGTCAAATATGGTGATACCCAAAGAAAGGTCTTGTCATAAGGAATGCACATGTGAAAAATGAAAGACATAGCTCCAACCAATCAAAAGTTATGGACAAGGTTAAAGTTTTTGCGGACAAACAGACAAACGGCTAAACAGACAGACGGACGGACAGGGCAAAAACGATATACCCCCGAATCTTCGATACGGGGGCATAAAAAAGTGTTGTCCATAAGGATCAAACATTGAGGCATTATGTTTACATCTAGTTAATTAAGCCTTCATTTCACACATGCAGATTAGTAGCTGCAGATCTATAACTGACTAGTCTGAGAAAAAAATGGAATGAATGTCCAAGCAGCTCTTTATTCAATGTGCATCAAAAAACTGCCAATGATTCGACAAATCGTATACCGAGAAAAAATATTGACAATGCTTTTGGGGAATGTATTAAAAGAATATGCTAAGTACACACGGTTAGTAACATTTTGAGATGACAGCTTATAAATACAGATACATACAGATAATTATGTAACTCTCGCTTTCTTGCTCAATATAATTGTCACGGTCACGGTAGCCAAGGGTAGGGCATTCGCTTCGTGATCGGGCCGAGGCCCGTGTTCGATTCTCGTTCGCGTCAAACATAAGACGTAAACATTGGTAAACTGTTCATTCGCCAAGCGCCCGGCAGGCCGGCACTAGAAGTGAAAGTCACGGCTCTTTGGGAAAAGACCTTAATTGGTACGATAAAGAACCCTCACTGCTCAATGGCCCTAAGTGTCGAGTATAGGTCTAAATTTGAAGCCCTTCACCGGTATATGGTGACGTCTAGTCTCTATATGAGTGAAAAATTCTCGAACAGGAGGTGAAACAACATACAACCAATCAATAATTACATTTACATGTTCCTTTTTTGAATGTAAGGACCTCTAGCTCTCCAGAGGTCCATTCCTCTTTTGACAAGTGGGTTACAAATCCACAGCGAGAAAATTATCAAATTTTGGGTACGTATTACAAATGAAATACATGTACATGTATCAACATGGGTTGTTAATTTTAACCATCTGATAAAAATTCCGTATCAGTGTTCTGGGCTCCGATAAATTTCATATCATTTAGTAAAAGAAAACTTTTATGTGCTCGCTAATGCTGACATCTGTATAATAATGCATGGATATAGATTTTTTTAGTTCACAACGAATAGGATTAGACGATTTCCATCAGAATATTAATCCGAGCCTTGCTCTCGATCGGGGTAATATCCACTAGGTATCATTTCTACACACGGGGGATTAGGCAGTCTCCGCGAAAGCCATCAATAAAGTGGAGAATACATATTATATTCAATCACTGGTTTGATCGTTAGTTTCGCCTAATGAAACAGACAGGACTGTGACCCGGAGACACATGCAAAAATCATTTGAATTTTACTACGATATAGTAAAGTTATTGTGAGGTAACGTTCGCTCGTTGTGTTATTGAACCTAGGGATTTGCCGCTATAGTAAATAACGTAATTGTGGGAAAAGGGGCGACTGGATATACATCGGATCATTGTATTGGAACCCAGTCAAAAAAAGTCATTTTACGAACATTTCTGTATTTGTTAAATAGATTACTCACTAGATTGTACGTGCATGCTAGCATGCATAACACGTGAAAGTAAGTGCGTTTAATCAGGCGTTCTATCATTGAAACAATGTAAATTATCAGGGGTTATGCAATTTTCCTTTACAGTACAGACTTAGCCGTCCATTTCACCTGTTCACATCCAGTGCGGTGAAATTTTGCAGAGCAAGCAATTATTCGGACTTCATATATGACATCAGATCAATTTTGATATTGAATTAATAGACATTGCCTGGTGTATATTGACCCTATATCGTCAGCAAATTGTATGGCGAATATAGATTAAGACATCTCCAAAAAAAAAAATTGCACTTTGGTTATAAGATCACGGGTATATAGGTTTGTCAAAAATAGAAACTGATGAAATTTCCGAATATTGATATTTTAAATAGCGTGACAAATCGTACATAGTTATTTAACTGTGGTTGAAATAGTGCATGGTACGTGCGCGACAAGGCAAGTTGGGCACCATTCCTTTTGTGGCAACGGAAAGGAGGCGTAGTGGATACACATGATAAATTCTATTGACAGGATATAATCGCGGTTTAATCTCCCACGAATAAAGTTTGAAAAATGATAAAACAACAACACTTCTTGTTTTAGTTTCATATCTGTTGTTTTTGGTTTGCTTTCTATATTTATTTCTATGAAGATGTATATATGTTTTTGAGTAAAAAAAAAAACAACAACAAAAAAAACAAACAATCTTTACATGCTGTAATTAAAAGATCGGTTAGTTGTTAATCCTGTCGAACTGTAACATGCATTCGATCTGCTGTTGAAAAAAGAACTGAAGATCTTTGACATGTTCTCCCAATTTCGCAGTAAAAGAATACATTGTTTAACGTTGTTGTAGCGGACAGTTTATAGGGAACTAGTGAGGTAGCTTTTCTATAGTCTCTCTCGATCCCAGACAAGTTAAGTTACGGAGAGCCTGTATAAAAGCCCTTGGATGGTGACTGGTCCACGTTATTGACCGCTTCACAGGCCCGTAGAAAGCTGGGGGGAGGGGTTACCTGTCAGATAATTTTGGGAAGTTGACCCCCCACCCACTTTTGGACAGTTTGGGTTTTTTTTCTTTTCTTTTGTTTGTTTGTTTGTTTGTTAGTTAGTTTGTTTTTTTTTTTTTGCTTGTCAGATTTCTTTTGGGGGGAAGTTGCCCCCACCCCCACTTTTGAAACAGTTGCTACGGGCCTGCTACAATATCTCATGAAAGGAGGGGTGTTCCTTTCGATTATGTTTTGTCGAAATATTTGAAGAATACGAATTCCAAAAGACATGGGCACAAAATTTTTGGTTTTGTATACCTCAATATTGTTTTGCATGGAGACTCGAGGTATCTTTGTTCTACCTAAATTTAATTTTAAGAGCTAGAAAAGAAAACATTTTGTTGTTCTTTTTTACTGGGCATGTCTCAGGGTAATACCCTGCAAATGAAAAAAAAA